TCCGTATAGCGATCCCGAAAAAGGGATCGCTATACGGAAACATCGCTATACGGTGCACTCGCTAAGCGAGGCACCACTGTATTAAGATAATCAGGCTTTTCTCTCAGTCCCACCACCCTCACAGGTATGTTTGGTCAGGACATGGGAGAGGCCTTCTCTGTTGCTGCTCCTAGACTCTGGAACTCTCTCCCACTGGACTCATCTCTGCTGTCCTTCCACAAACAGATAACATACTTTCTCTTGAGGCAAGCTTTCCTTTAAATGACTGGTTGACCAAGGGGATTTTTTAAAGGGAGCATTTTATTCTGTGTTTTACTTCTGTTTTTAAATATTGTACTCTTGTGAGTTCTAATGTGATATTTGTTTAATCCTTTCTAAATATATTAATTTATTAATTGGCTTTGAAGTTTTTTTCTTTTAATACCATAAGCTGCCTTGGATACTTTGGGCAAATAAACAAACAAATATTCCATGATGTCAATCCTGACATGGTCACCCTGGGTTTTCTTGGTAGAGAGTACTCAGAAGTAGTTCACCATCCCCTTCTGAGGAGGGTGTCCTGGAACTGTGCAGCTGGCCCAAGACTACACAGGTCGGCTCTTTTGGAATATATAATGGGGAACTGAGCTCCCAGCCTCTGGTTTGACAACTAGATACCGACACTACTGAGCTATTCAGTCAGCTTAGGGGGTGTATAATAAACCACACAGTAGAGAGAGTTCTGCTACCCTCCCCTTCCTAGAACTATAGCCTTCATGTATACTGTGTGTTTTTCTTATACTATAGTAATTCCATAATAGCATATCAAACTTTCCCATATATCATAGTATTAAAAAATGTTGCAAACATCATGGCAAGTTACTACGAAGCATCGTTTTGAACTTTCTGCTGTAGTATATATTGTTTGTTGTTGTTTAGTCATTAAGTCATGTCTGAATCTTGGTGACACCATGGACCAGGGCACATCAGGCCCTCCTATCTTCCACTTTCTCCTGGAGTTTGGTCAAATTCATGTTCTTCGGCGGTCAGCCTTCTTTATGGTCCAGCTGTCTCTTCCATACATCGCTACTGGAAAAAACACAGCTTTGACTATGCGGACCTTTGTCGGCAAGGTGATCTCTCTGTTTTTAAGATGCTATCTAGGTTTGTCATCGCTGTCCTCCAAAGAAGCAGGAGTCTTTTAATTTCGCAGCTGCTGTCACCATCTGCAATGATCATGAGCCCAAGGAGATAAAATCTGTCACTGCCTCCATATCTTCCCCTTCTATTTGCCAGGAGGTGATGGCACCAGTGGCCATTATCTTAGTTTTTTTGATGTTCAGCTTCAGACCATTTTTTGTGCTCTCCACTTTCACCCTCATTAAGACGTTCTTTAATTCCTCCTCACTTTCTACCATCAGAGTGGTATCACCTGCATATCTGAGGTTGTTCATATTTCTTCTAGCAATCTTAATTCTGGCTTGGGATTTCTCCAGTTCAGCCTTTCGCATGATATATTCTGCATATAAGTTAAATAAGCAGGGAGACAATATACTGTACAGCCTTCTCATACTCCTTTCCCAATTATGAACCAATCAGTTGTTCCATATCCAGTTCTAACTGTTGCTTCCTGTTCCACATGTAGATTTCTCAGGAGATAGATAAGGTGGCCAGGCACTCCCATTTCTTTAAGGACTTGCCATAGTTTGCTGTGGTCCACACAGTCAAAGGCTTTTGCATAGTCAACAAAGCAGAAGTACGTAGATGTTTTTCTGGAACTCTCTGGCTTTCTCCATAATCCAGCGCATTTTAGCAATTTGGTCTCGAGTTCCTCTGCCCCTTCAAAATCCAGCTTGTACTTCTGGGAGTTCTTGGTCCACATGTTGCTGAAACCTACCTTGTAGGATTTTGACCATAACCTTGCTAGCGTGTGAAATGAATACAATTGTACGGTAGTTGGAGCATTCTTTGGCACTGCCCTTCTTGGGGATTGGGATGTACTGTAGACTGATCTTTTCCAATCCTCTGGCCACTGCTGAGTTTTCCAAACAGTTGAATTGCAGTGCAATATAATCAGACATCAGCTTTGGTTCTCCAGCCTCTTCATCACTGTTCCACTACTCGAGCAAAGGAGGCCTCTGCTGCTTGCTATGTGTATGCCACTGGAGACAATCCTCTTTGGCCTAAGTACAAGCTATGTCTGCATCCCTATTAAGGCTTGCATGAGACTCCAAATAATTCCCAGGACAGACAACTAGGGTCAGGGTTAAATCCTCCCACTTGACTGGACCTTTCCTCTTAATTTCAGGAGCAACTCTTAGCTTGGTCTCCACTTTGTCAGACCCCTATCAGTGTTTCCTATAGTATCACATTGCAGGAAGTTGATGAAAATGATTCAAAAAGTAAAAAAATAATGAAAAATGCTTTTCACAGAGTAATTAATAACTCCTCTCAGCTGGTAATAGGGAAGGAAGGACCCTAGGAGAGGGCTACGTTTGGAAGCTGTGAAGCCAACATATACAGCAAGATTCAGCCAGGCTGCCACTTCGCTGTCTTCCTCTTTTCTGTCAACTGCTTCTAACTCTTCCTCTACTTCCCTTATATGCTCCATTTGACAGGAGTTTCCCCTGGCAAGCTTTTTCCTGCCTTTCTGGGTCTCTCCAGTTTCCCAGTTCCACAGGAGAGTTTACTCCGGGTAATGTGCAGGGGAAAAGATTTGCCTTGTGCCTGCCGGAAAGCCTTGGCAGGGGCCTGTGGAGGGCCAGGGAGACATGGAGGTAAGCATGTAATGAGTACCCAAGCTCACCTGCTCACAAGTCCACAACACCGTATTTTTAGAGTATGATATTATACATATTGGTTCAGCAGCAAAATCCACTAAATTCAGGGAAGTATATTCCTAATAGTGTATGCATAGGACCAAAAGTTATTAATTACTCTGTGAAAAGCATTTTTCATTATTTTTTTACTTTTTGAATCATTTTCATCACCTTCCTGCAATGTGACAAAAAATTTGCTTTGTCAGCTACATTGTCAGAGGAAAGAATGTTTCAAGTGGTTTCAGCCCTATCAACTTCCTCTGTTTTAGCTGAAATTGGCTATATACCAGGACTGTTTCCTATATTAAGTTCTATCTGCAGCAGACAATTAGGATAAGAAGTATACTTTTACAGAATTAATTTTTAAAAATAGTTATTTCATATTGCCAGTGAAGAATGATGCTGCAGATTTAATGACTGTGTATAAATAAGCATGTTCCCATCACTGAACCACATCTAAGTTTTTCCCCACACTATATACAGTATACTTATTATTTTATGTATATTTACTACTTCTCTGTCCACTAGACACAATACAGACTCTAAGCTAAATATGCAGACTAAACATATATATGTTTAACCAAGGTAATTTTAGAAGATGTAGCCGTGTTAGTCTGTGCAAGCATATCAGGCAAAATCCAAGGAAGTGAAGCAAAGAAAGAAAGAAAGAAAGAAAGAAAGAAAGAAAGAAAGAAAGAAAGAAAGAAAGAAAGAAAGAAAGAAAGAAAGAAAGAAAGAAAGAAAACGCATGTGGCACCTTAAAGACTATTATATTTTAATGTGAGCTTTTGTGGACAGGTCCACTTCATTAGACACATGGAAAAAATGAGATACCAGATTAAATGCAAAATTCATAAGTACAGTGATGCCTTGCTTAACGGCGATAATCCGTTCCAGGAAAATTGCCGTTAAGCGAAAACATCGTAAAGCGAAAAAAACCCATTGAAATGCATTGAAACCCCTTCAATGCTTTCCAATGGGGTCAAAACTCACTGTCCAGCGAAGGTCCTTCATAGGGCAGCCGTTTTCGCTGCCTGTCTTGCGAGGAATCCATCCCAGAAAACAGCGGGGAGCCATTTTGTTTACCCGGTGGCCATTTTGAAACCGCCAATCAGCTGTTTTAAAATTGTCATTTTGCGAAGAATCGGTTCCCAAAGCAGGGAACTGATCATCGCAACGCAAAAAAAACCATTTAGACCATCGTTTTGCCATCGCAACTGCGATCGCAAAAAGATCGTTGTAATGCAGTTTCAGCGTAATACGGGGCAATCATAAAGCGAGGCACGACTGTAAAACTTTCATTGGTTCTAAGAGTCATGGGAGTGTGGTTCCATTTCACATACAGTAATTTATGGCCTATGTTTGGTGTTGAGTTCTCAAGGTAAGTTACTCTACATTTAATAGCTCTTTCCTCCAAGTGTATTTGACCAGGTTTTGTAGCCTCATGCAGCACTCCCTTCCTTGTTTACCCAGAAATGCATCACAAATTCAGCACAGCTTACTCCAAGTAATTATTAATATGTTTATAGCACCAATCTCATCCTCGTTCCTGGGGAAACTGTTTGAAATTGGAACTACTAAATTGTTACTTAGTATCATGAGTCCATTAGTATGCTAAGGCTTGAAATGACATTCAAAAATATCACTCTGCTACCAAGTTACATTTACACACTATACTAACAAAGGTACCCAATAGAAGCTGGATGAAAACCACAACAAGGTTTCTGCTCCTTTTGATTCGTACTATGACAAGCTTGTTGTTATTACATGCTGTCAAGTCACCGGGGAGTTATGATGCCCCTGTGAATAAGTGACCTACAAAATGTTCTGTCCTCAACAACCTGGCTGAGTTCTTATAAACTCAAGGCTGTGCTTTCCTTTGGAGTAAATCCATCTCAAATTTGGTCTTCTTTTCCTACTGCCTTCACCTTTTCCCAGCAACATACAAATCTGCTAAAATGTTCCCTTTTACACAAATACTAACCACTTAAAAACCCTGCTCTCTTTATTACCTGGATAATAAACAAGAGAAAGCAATTAAAGGTGGATGTTGTACAGCTATATAAATGAAACTAGTAAATACAGTACCAGAGGACAAATTACAACCGCCACTCTTATGATTTTGAATGTTGCAGTTCAGCATAGTACATTCTAACTATGCAGTTCAGCTGAGATACACATTAATCTTGGATGTGAAACTTTTACCCAGAGGTAAACTGTCATGCATAATCAGTAACCTGATCGATAGATACCAAGTGTTCATCTTGCTTCACCCAACACAGTCACAAGCCCAGTTCTGAGTGGTTAATGGATCAGAGTTACTGCCATTCAAATGGAAAAAGCAGAAGCTGCTAATTATTGTATTTTAAAGACTGTACTATATTTGAATGTATGATTCAGTCTTGGCATAAGGACAATTATATGGTTCACAATCAGATCAAGGTAGATAGGTAATATGTAAATTATGTACTTTATGTAAATTATGTGTTGTAGCATTTTAACTGTGTGGACTGTCTGACACTAGAAAAAGCAAAGGCTGAGTCACACTGCCCTGAATTTTTCAATTCATGGGACAAGATTTTGTCAGCACAGGCTGGGCACAGTCACGAAGAGAATCCATAAACTTAAGTCTTCTATTAAGAAATTGTTCAAATAGTAGCTTGCAACAGCATGGTCTATCACAATCTTAGACACACTGGTTTTCTATGCACACAAAGGAAGAGTGGACGCGTCATCATAAAGTGAAAAGAAAGTACTGTAAATGGATCTTGAGATAACTTTCTAAAGACAAAAAAAGAAGGTAAGAGTAATGTAGCAGTGCAGTCCTAAAAACATTATGTCAGTTACAGTACCATGCTTCAATACTATGAACAAGCAAAGTTCATAAACTGCAAGTCCATGTACAGGTGGGGGGCACTGTTCATTTCCAGATGCTGTTAGACTGCAGCTTCCATAAGGCTAGCCAACTCAGCCAATGACGGGGGAACATGGAAGTCATAATCCAAAAAAGTTATCAGAGCCACAGTTGCTTACTATCTTTACAGAACTATCCCAACCATTTTTACCAAAAAGAAATGCTAGTTGCTTTTAGATAGGCATTCTTCTAGTCAATATATACAGTATTTGGGATTACAACAGTGCAGGCTTCACTTATAACATATAAAAGCTGATGTGGCTTCTGAATAAAGGCACCTCATGAGTAATATGTTTCAAAACAGTAATCATGTTAATCTCTTCCAGCATGTACAACAATACCAAAACAAAAATATTTTGACACATTAAAGACATATTCTGACATGAGTCTGAGGAAGGGCACTATAATCCATGGAAACTCACACTAAACTAAACCTATTATTCATTAAGTTACCACAGTAATTTTAGTTTGTTTTGTTTTGTTATGAATAATAACAAATGAATAAAACTTGGATTAATTTAGTGTTCTTCATGCTTCTTATCAAAATTTCAGTTTAATACTATTATGGTAACTGTAAGCTGAACAAATAACAGAATAACATGACTTGCTCATGGAAATCTTTAGAGAACTCCTTAATATCTGAAATTGTTAAACCACAGTCCAAGTATACTTATCCTTTACCACCATGTTTGTTGGAATTACATAAAGTAATTCATGAGGAATGTGTGGGTGCTGGTGAAGCAACAGCCATTTTGCCCCACAAGCAAATGGTGTAAAAGATGCACTCTGCATTTTATAAGGCAAAGAATTCCACACATTGCCATGCATTAATTTCGAAATCAAAAAGTGAGTTATACTCCAAAGGCAGTACAAAAACGCCTTTTTCCTCAGTTATGTTTTGCTGATTCATACATTCCCAGTATCACCACCAGTACAATCAGTGGTAGTCAGTAACAGATCAAAAGCATTATTACAAAAATAGATTTTTTTACTCCTAAGTGATCACCTGTTTTGTGAAAGAAAGCTCCAAGTACTATGTACTGAAGGCTTATACCAGCTTTCTGCCCGTCATAGGTCTCTCTGGAACTAGAGACATGTGATTGCTCAAGTAAGTCCATCGCTTTCAGTGGGGCTTACTTCCAAGTAAATGCACGTATCGTAACTTACGGGCACTTGCATGCAGAGACGCCCCATTGAGGCTTACTTTCAAGTAACCTAATTGAGCCTCGCTCTGCATATATGAAATCATATACTGTATAATTGCCAGTACTGATTAATTCAATCGAGGGTTCCCCATTAAGTGGGCTCGAAAACCTGCTTCCCCTCGCCCATCACGTTCCCCAAAAGAGAGAGAGAGAGAAAAGCAAAGAAGCTTGGCACATCCCCGCAAGAAGCCGCGATTCCGTTTTTTCTTTCAATATATACCTCTCACGCCCAGGTGATACACAAAGGGACTGACGCAAATCAACTCAAAGGAGGAGATTATCTAACCATCGGATCACTCACCTCTCCCTCGGACTCTCTTTGCTCTCAGGAGAATGCAAAAGAGACGGATGAGTCCCCGGCCCCTACATTTAATGTTTCCGTTTCCGGGTTTGAAATTTAACCGTTCCTCAGCCATTCTCTGTGAAGTGAAGTGAAGAACAGATTTCAGGAAGTAGATTTGGTGGACAGAGTGCCTGAAGAATGGAGGATCCTAAAATTGTACAGAAGGCAGCAACAATAACCATCCCAAAGAAAAGGAAATGCAAGAAAGCAAAGTGGCTTACAAATAGGAGAGAAGAGAAGGGAAACAGAATGCAAACAGAGATAGTGAAAGTTACAAGTGTATTGAGCACAGACTTCCAAAGAATATCAAGGAGAGACAAGAGGGCCTTCTTAAATGAACAGTGCAAAGAAATAGAGGAAAATAATAGAAAGGGAAAAACCAGAGATCTGTTCAAGAAAATTGGAGATATTAAAGGAACATTTTGTGCAAAGATGGACATGAAAAAGGACAAAAAGGGTAGGGGTGGCAAGAAGAGGTGGCAAGAATACACAGAGGAATACAGTAATACAGTAATACTAGAAAGGTCATGAGCTCTCGGACAAGCCAGATAGTGTAGTTGCTGACCATGAGCCAGACATCCTGGAGAGTGAAGTCAAGTGGGCCTTAGAAAGCCTGGCTAACAACAAGGCCAGTGGAAGTGGTGGCATACTGTATCAGTTGAACTACAGTCGTGCCCCGCTTTACGATTGCCCTGCATTACGACGAAACTGCATTACAATAACGTTTTTGTGATCGCTTTTGTGATCGCAAAATGATGGTCTGAATAGGGTTTTTTCGCTTTGCGATGATCGGTCCCCTGCTTCGGGAACTGATTCTTTGTAAAACGATGATTTTCGGACAGCTGATCAGCAGTTTCAAATTCCACTCCTATGGCAGAAAGTGAGGAGGAATTAAAGAACCTCTTAATGGGGGTGAAAGAGAGCACAAAAATGGCCTGAAGCTGAACATCAAAAAAACTAAGATCATGGCCACTGGTCCCATCACCTCCTGGCAAATAGAAGGGGAAGATATGGAGGCAGTGATAGATTTTACTTTCATGGTCTCCGTGATCACTGCAGATTGTGACAGCAGCCCTGAAATTAAAAGACTCCTGCTTCTTCGATGGGAAGCAATGACAAACCTAGACAGCATCTTAAAAAGCACCATCTTGCCGACAAAGGTGTGCATAGTCAAAACTATGGTTTTTCTGGTAGCAATGTATAGAAGTGAGAGCTGGACCATAAAGAAGGCTGACCGCCGAAGAATTGATGCTTTTGAATTGTGGTGCTGGAGGAGAGTCCCCTGGACTGCAAGGAGAACAAACCTATTCATTCTGAAGGAAATCAACCTCGAGTTCTCACTGGAATGACAGATCCTGAAGCTGAGGTTTCAATACTTTGGCCATAACATGAGAAGAGAAATCCCCCTGGAAAAGACTCTGATGCTGGGAAAGAATGAAGGCAGAGGCGAAGAGGACGACAGAGGACGAAATGGTTGGACAGTGTCATCAAAGCTACCAACATGAATTTGACCAAACTCCAGGAGGCAGTGGAAGGCAGGAGGGCCTGGTGTGCTCTCATCCATGGGGTCACGAAGAGTTGGACACGACTTAATGACTAAACAATAGTAACAGCCATTCTCATGTCCCTGTCCACGTGGGCACGGGGAGTTTATTGTCACTGTCGCCTTTTACAACGCGTTCAGTGGAAAGAACATTTTTTATTACGATTTCATAGAAGCATTTCTTGAAGGAAGTTTGCGTTTTCTTTTGTGCTTAGTATAATTTACATAAGACGGGCAAAATTGGTTTTGAACCGCAGAGTTCCTCAGTTTAACAATGTCAGTCAGAGGCTTGAAGCCATGTAGCCTGGAAAGTTTTATAAACTTATGTTTATCATTGTCTATGAGGATTTATTTTTACATTAAACTTAAAAATTACCTCTTGCAGATTATTGCAAAAGAGCATTGTGCATGTCCCCGCCTTTTTGCTGCATATATTTGTAAAATAAATTAAACATCCAGTGATAGTATAGACGACGTAGAAAATATTTTCTTGAATACATTTCACTCCACGGACCTGTAGCAAGAAGCTATGATTGGCTGTGGCTTCTTGACAACAGATACCATATGCACATGGAGCAAAAGTATTGCACAACTTACACATATGTGGCCATCATTTATTGACTGTCACGGCAGCTCAAGTCCACTACTTTTGTAAAGCTTAGGGAGGTTTCAAAAGTTTTTTTATTGCTATAACTTTAAAAGACTATAAAATATCACAAAGCATTCCTTGTTTAACACTTCATAAATAATCTCTTTGCAGATTGTGTATTGGATATCATAAGCAGTCATACATTGGGTGTGTCATTACAAGGGAACACTCGAAAAGACAATAATGCCAGGAAAAGATGAAAGCAGCAGGAAAATACCTAATATAAGTGACTCAGTAACAGAAGCCATGGCCTTTAGGTTGCAAGACCTAAGTAGGTCTGTTTGATAGGATCTTATAGAGATAATTAATTCATTGGGTTGCCATAAGTCTGAAACAACTTTGATGGCATCAAATAAATCAGGTGTCTGTAATGAGGTAATAGCCTCATCTATTGCTAGGAATTTGTAATGTTTACAACCAGTGTTAATAAAGCAGTTGTCATTTTCTACACCCAGTTTCAGTTTGATCCTCCTGGCCCTGCCCAGCAATACTGTACATATGTATCAGAAGTAGGAACAAGGTTCTCCATGCACCATAGGAAAGGGGGTTGTCTATAAAGGTTTATTCTATAGCAAATCTGTCAGTCCTAAAAATATAACGCAATCCTTAATTGAACAGAGTAGCACAATTCCTCTGCCATGAAAACTGTATTATAGGGATTGTCAGTGGTAGCAGCTGGAGGGGACAACAAACTCTTCAAGTGCAACATTTCAGTCCACAACAAATGAACTGCAGCTATTCGCTTACATGAAAAAATATGAAAAAGAAAAACAATATGGTCATTGTACAAAATTGAAACAGAGGGCTGTCAATACCTTTACAGAACTACTAAAATCTTAGAAAAGGTGATATTTAACATCCATCAGGATTCTTCTTCAGACTGGGCATTTCAGAGCTTGAGGCTGTTGGGAGAGAAAAGTTCTATATCTAGCTGTTTTATTTTCAATCCCCTTTTTAATGATACCTAGCATGGAATTGGCCTTCTTCACTGCCGCCACACACTACATTGACACTTTCATCAAGCTGCCCACCAGTACACCAAGATCTCTAAAGGAATGAAATAAATAAATGTGTTCTACATCAAATCAGGCCTCAATTATCCATAAACACAAAAATGGCAAAGCTGAGACTATTATGCTTTGGGCAAACCATGGGAAAACAAGACTCACTGGATAGGATAATAATGCTGGGGAAAATTGAAGGGAACATAAAAAAGACAAAATAGGCAAGACATGGCTTGACGCTAAAAAGGATGCCATTGCCTTGGGTTTGTAAGAACTGAGCAAGGTTGTTGATAACGGGACATTCTGGAAGCATTTATAGACAGTTTTGGCAAAAGTCAGAAGCAATTTGGCATACATCAACCCTCTGGAAGCATTTATAGACAGTCAGAAGTCAGAAGCAATTTGGCATACATCAACCACCCCTCTATCTCTGGCCTTGCATTTGGTAACCATGCGAAAGACATATAGATGTACACTGACAGAGCATCTGCCCACAGAGGGCAATCCTGATTTGCATAGCATTTCTTACGTGAGGAAGCTGTTCAGGAAAATTTCATGTGGTATAAAACACAATGTTGGTAGGACACTACAGTGCTGTGTATTAGGGGAACACCAGATATTTTCTTTCAGTTTGGGGGAGAGGGTTCAAGTGAATGCCTTTATGAGAAAGCGATGGAACCTAGCATCTGATTATAGCTAACACCACACCTATTACTATGATTGGTGGATTATTGTGTATATATGCAAGGATGCTGTCGTGGTGGTGGTGGGAAGGATCCCTGTCAATGGAGACCAGGCCTAGTATTTACCTCACAGATCCACATCTGTCTTCCTACCTACATGCTGTTTTTTGGTCACACTGCATTCTGACAGAACACTGGGATTTATTGTCACAATTGTTTCGAAGACCAAATACAGTAAGTCACATTCCACAATAATCATTTTTCCATGTTTCAATCTATGTCTAAATCAGATTAAACAGATGTACATCAGTAGTCCACATACATGAGGGATAGCTTCGCAAATACAATAAGTCACATTCCACAATAATCATTTTCCCATGTTTCTATCTGTCTAAATCAGATTAAACAGATGTACACCAGTAGTCCACATACATGAGGGATAGCTTCTGTAAGGATTTGATTCCACCTGTTTTTTTAACATACATCTAGAGAGCAAATGCACAGCTTGAAAAAAATCTGTGCAGTTGAAGATGAAAACATACAGTTGGGCAGAAAGAGAAAACAATTAGACAACCTACGAATATCTGTTTATTACAGACTTAAACAAGAGGCAGTGTCATGTAACACAGTTCATATAATGCTTGGTTTCCATGTGAAATCAAACTGCTGAACGATTATATTCTCAAAGGCTTATAAAATAAGTTCCTCTTCTTTACCTCGATTAATACTGAATGTGTGCAAGCTCTACTGACTGTGGGTGTAACAGATTTGTTTGTGGTTGGGGGAGGAGTCTGACAGTGCATCTGCATAGCCGGAAAATTTGTTTTAAAACAAATCTGTTCCTGACATTCTCTGATGGCTGTGTGGTAGGGATGGAAGAGAGACTTTACTAAGTAACTGCTCCCAGGTTCCAGAACCCTTTCCTAAAGGAATTGCCCACATACCCCTATCAACTTTGCTTCTGCCAGAAGACAATGACTACTTTGTTCAGACAGACTTTGGCTGAATTGTTCTTGAGAGGATTTTCCACTGGTTCCTTTAACAAGGAAGTAATCTTCTTTGGGCCATTTGTCAGCTTCAGTACATGATGCATTTACACAAAGAAAGGAAGGGTATATAGACATTCTAAATAAAAAAAACAGAAAGTGTAGCAGCTGCCTATAGTTTCAAACATGGCAGTTCTTC